AAATGAACAGTACGTTGTAACTAATGGTCGAAATTGGATAAGTGTCAGATTTCTAGAATACATTCAAATAACTTTAACTTTGCCTAGAAAATGTATAACAGTACGAATTGAAACAGTGAGCTTATGACGCGTTTCTCAAACAATTCATCATCAATTTATTTCCTAAAGTTTCATTTTTAATTTCGTTGACTAAAGGCCGCACATCAAAGTTCATTATTATCTCCCTTACTTTACTCCAGGAGGAATCAATGGTATCTTTACCTTTCACATAATTTCAGTACCAAATCTAGAATTTACATAATTCCTTTACTGACCACTTACGAATTATAAGTGTTACATTATCATTTGTATGTGCAAGTATACAAACTAATTTCAATAATAGTATCGCATTTCAAGATAAAAGAATTTGTATAATTTGAAATGACAAGCTGAAATTTTTTGACAGGCGCTCTGGGTTTTTCAATTTCTCTTACATCTCTCGTTGTTAAAAATAGAAAAAAAAACGGATTTTGCACAAACATTTCGGCAATGTAAACTTACTTTAATGCGGAGAGTATCCGCAAATACCGACAAACTATCCGGAGAGCGACCAAAGAGGTTTCACAACGGAAGTGGACTTCCGTATAGCAGTTGTCAATTAGCTTTCAACTTGTAGGCCGCTTCGTGCTGGCTGGTTTAACGTTAAAGTAAAAAAAAAGTAAATTCACATTTACGTTAATAAAGAAGAAAAATAATTGGTTCGAATTATTTTAAAAAAATTTCGAATTTAGAAGTGTAAAATTTCGATATTTTTTTTGTTCTAATCTCTAATTCGTTTTATCAGACAGATATGTTAAATTCTTTTTTATCCAAGCATTCGTGACTCTATAATTTGATTAATACTAACCATGACATAAAATCTATCAGCTATATAATTTAAACAGATTACGCTTGCATTTATTGAAATTGCACTTTCGTGCCTACGAGTTTAGATGCAAAATACCTTGTTTACTATAAATTGAAGTCGCGTAGCTCAATAATCTGAGCATTTACGTACCGTTTCGCATGTTTGATTTAAAATGTATGGAATATTTACAATAAATAATACCTTTCCTACCTTTTTATAATAGTTCCTACCATATATCATAAGGGAAAGAACTATATACCATGAATATTACTTATGATTAGGACTTTATAGGTAAAATAATAGACAAAAGAATTGTAATATCGAAAGTCTGCTAAGAAATTAAAAAAGAATTTAATTAGAAAGTCCGTTTTTTATAATAAAAAAACCTTTCGGAAACTTAATAAGCGAGAGCAGTTGGGTGTTCTGGCACGCGCGTAGATCGTTACAGTTCATTAACCTCACCTGCCTTAGCGGAATGTTCTTATAAGTTTTATGTTACAGTGCCGGAGACAAACTTCCGTCTCATCCAGAACAAAACGGACGATGATACTGTCAACGTCATATGCGCTGCGGACGGCGCCTTTCCGGCACCAAACCTGACACTCGCCACGCCTGAGAGGTAAAATTTTAAAAATGATTTTTCATACCTATAAGATTTCTGTTGACTGTTTTAGTGTTTGTGTTATGTTTTTATCTCTTTTATTCGTATTGATAAAAGAGAGTTGATACATATTTTAACGATGATTTACTATTCCACCATATGCTACTTTTTACTAATATTATAAATGCGAAAGTTTAGATGGATGGATGTTTATAAGAGTTTGCTTAAGCAAACGGAACTCGATTAAATTTGGCATAGGTGTAGAGCATTGTGTACAAGAATGCATAGACCAGTTACTTTTATTTTTAAATTTAAAGCCAGTTAGATAGATAAAAGAGTCAAACATCGTGACTTGATAATAGTGATCACTATTACGTAAAAAAACAGAATTTTAGCCTCACTGATAGAAAAGTAATAATGTATTATGACCTTAATTATAAAATAACTATCTAAAATGAAGTAAGACTTTAACTGTTAGATTTAAATGTAAAAGTCGATAGGGCAATAGAGTAACGTGTCGAGGTCATATAAAATTGAAGACGTGTGCTCCACAGCAATTGGCTTAAGGCAATTGCAGGTTATCGCGGCCGGCCTACATCGTAGCGTTCGCTCGCGTGATCTTACTTACTTTATTGCGTTGATTACGTAAGTAGCCACTACACTGATGCAAATACGGTTACAACTTTACAATAAGGTTCGCCATAGGTACACGTATTATAGTGGAAAAGTGGTCTAACAAGAACACTGCATGAACTAATTCGAGAAGTGTCTTGTTCGATGTAGAATTGGTAGCTAGTTAGCTATCTCTTCAAGGCCAAAACTATTTGATTATTTTCAGAATCTTAATGCATAAATATAATAATAATTGCATAATAACTACCAAACATTCAATTACTGGCATAAAATTACTCTCTAGTTGCAAATTTTTATAGATATGGAATAAATAATACGATAACTTTAGGGCTTTTTTACGTAAACAAAAGACTTACAAGTACATATATGTACAATGCTTAAAGAAAGACAAAATTTCCATTGTTTTCTCGAGCACTTATTTCACATTAAAACGTACGCTTGAATATATTCTCAAATACATTTCTCGGTACACGATTCTTTGTTGTTAAGTTGCCCACTTTAGTACGATATTTGTTTTAAGAAAAGAACAAAACTGTTATACAAATACGGCTTCCCTGAGCCTCGGGAGACATTGCTCAATTGAAATATGTTTTAAAGTTTAATGTTTACTTTCAAAGAAAATGTTTTACATCAAAACATTTATCTTCCTAACACAACTTCACGAAAATAGACATATTTTTTTAATGAAAAATAAAATTATAAGTGTGATTCGAAATAATAAAAGTTATGGAAAATATCCAAACGCCATTTAAAATAAATTTACGTCGTAAAACGTGACTTATATTTTCGAATATCACTTAAAAAAACTCAACATAACGGTCGCCTTGGTCAATATTGTCGCGTCATCTATTGATGTATAACGAAATTAATGTATGTGGAATAATCGAGATGTCTCCAGAATGTTCTATCGAGTAGTGAAATGGACGCCCGTCGAATAGTCAAGCTATTTCTAGAAGGTTCTATGGCAACGCCATCTGTTGGCGAGTAGAGGAAAAGATGTTCGCAAAAAGTTATCTTCAATATTCGAAGCGGCATCGAGAATGTTCTATTGGACAATGTATGTAATTCGAACAATCATAAATGTTCTGGAACACAATGACAAAAGAATAACGAAAAGAAGATTGAAAATCGCGCTACATAAGGGGAATCAGTTCCGATCTGAGGAGTGTTACGGCGGAAAGTGAATTGTGAAGAAGAAGTCTTAAGTGGATTGCGAAGAAGATAAAGTGACCTTGAAGTGAAAGTGCTAGTGTTGTAGTGTCAATGATGTTTTGTGAAGTGCTCAGTACTACTGACTGTGTTTGTGTGTCGTGTCGTTAACGGAAAATCGTGACAGTACTGTTAACTGTAACTATAAATCGCGAATAAATCAAAGAAGAATAATTAGGGTGTTTTAACTTTATCCCACGCGCATAACAATATCATAGGCTAAAGTCGTTTTAAGGGACAAAAGGTCATAGTTCAGTTGAAAGGTAATATTCAGTCTATTTTCAGCCCGTTTCATTTACAATTTGGTTAACAAGAACGTGAATTGTAGGACTGTGACGAATATAAAAAATGGCTTAACACAAATCATCCGTTGAACATTAAGCTATGTCCAATTCTTATATAAATTATATCACGTTTTTCCTTATTTTGACGCTAGAATTCTTATTGATATAAGAAGACGAAATAATTGAAATAACACAAATAAGTGTATTATATGATCAAGAAGGGAGTGATGAGTGATAAGACGGATGATAGAGTTATTTGGAGAACGAAAACCCGGTACGCCGACCTTACGGGAGTAGGATAAGGCAGGGAAGATGATGACGCTTTTTTATAGACTATGTTATATCTGTACAATAAATTTAAAGTCAGAAACCATTATGTACATTTGACACATGATTTCTACATATATTCCACACACAATTAACATTTGTTAAATGTAAAATATACTATTATAATTTTCTAATATTTTTTGTGTTCAGTACAGATTTTACATCGTCCATTTATTTCTTAAAGCTTAAAGAATATTTGGCAACATTTCTGCAGCTCAAGATTAAATCCGATTTAAAGCTACCACCTGGTGCACCTTACATTGAGTTTCTTATTTAAAAGTATGCTTTTAGATGAAATTTCACTGCGGATGTGGATATCTGAAATTTTGATATTAAAAGAAATATACTTTAATTATAAGTAAAAATTAAATAAAGCATCCACTAATAGTGTAAGTTTGGTACTATAAGATAATTTAGATGAATAATGATTTAACTAACGATTTGAAGTCCAGTGTACGTAATAGTCTAGTGTACTGCACTGTACACTTTTTTATAAATCAATCTGAAAACCAAACAAAGACAATAAATCGTCACAAATACAGTCGTGTTATCAAATACTATGTTACAATCATACTAATATAAATGCGAAAGTTTAGATGAATGGATGGATGGATAGATGAATGTTTGTTAGAGTTTGTAGCCTAAACGGCTAAACCGATTTCGATGAAATTTGGTATAGATGTAAAGGATAGTCTGGAAGATCACTTTTTTGTCGAAGAACACATAGGCTACTCACTTTTGTTTTTTTTTTAAATTCCACGTGGACGAAGTCGCAGGTGTACGCTAGTACTGTATAAATTTTTTCTTATAATATTATTTTTATTAAAGGCGACTGGATGGCGTGTCCCATGACCTCAAGTTGGTGAATGGCAGATATTCAACAGTGGCGTCTGTGACGTTACTAGACGCGGACCTTCCTTCGCCTGCCGAGTTTATCTGCACACTACGAATACCATTAGCGAAATATGCAGTGAGAAAAGAAGCTATTTATTACCCAGGTAAGATGACTTATTTATAAATTGACATTTTT